TGCCCATACTCTGTGGACAGCTCAGTCTGCCCTTGGTGTGCAGCGTGTGGTGCTGGGGATTGAACCATGGTCTCTGAGCTTGCCTAAGCAGGCACTTTAGTCTGCTAGCTATCTTGCCATCCCCCCAAATTCATAATTATTAAAAGCTTCAATTAATTATAAAACAAAAAGTTTTTGATTTTTCACTTGATATGTTTAGTGAATTTTTATTTAACTTGGAAATTGTTCAGTAGCATTAACTATGATTTAAAGTATTGTACTACAGAAAATTATTTAAATTTTTAAAGTTCAGAGATTTAAATAAGATCAATATTGAAATGGAAACTATAGCCAGATATCAGGATTTTTGTTCAGTAAAGGTTAGATTTACCATTAGCTTTGGGGAAGGGTGTAGTAATAACCTGCTTTTAACTAGCAAACTTTTTAAAATCTAGCATAGTTCTTGTTTTCCTTAATTATCATGCAGTAAATTTTGTTATTCCTGGCATATATAATTTAAACATATCTATAGATTCATACTGTTAGCAACACAGTGGGGGCACAGAACAGACCCATTACCACCAAAACGCCTTTGTTTATATACCTTTAAAATCCACACACTTATATGTTCCTAAATCCTGAAAGATAGTGTTCTATTTTCCAGCTCTTGTGCTTTGTCTAATGTTATAATAATATAAAATAATGTAATGCTATACAATAGAAATGTATAGCATGTAATTTGTTGGAATTGGCTTTTTTTTTTGAATTGATTCATATACCTGTAGTGTGTGTGTGTGTGTGTGTGTGTGTGTGTGTGTGGTTTTTTAGAACTCATTGTTTGAGTGAACTATGGTTTATCCAGTCAGCCATAAAAGGGCATGTAAATTGTTTCACATTTTGCCAATTATGGTAGAGTTCTTGTAATCATTCATATACATATTTTTGTACCTTTCATTTCTCTAGGGTAAATGCTCAGGAGTGGGATTGCTGGATCATGTGGTAAGTGAATATTTAACTACATAAAAAACTGTCAGACTTTTCCGGTTTACACCATAAGCAGCAATATATTACATTTCTATTTTCTATGCATCCTTGAAAACAAACATGTGGTATATTCAGTGTTTTAATTTTACTTTTTCAAATGCTGTAGATATTTAGCACTGTCATGCTGTTTTCATTTACATTTACCTAATGATTTTGAGCATTTTTCATCAGCTTTTTTAAAATTTGCATATAGTTCTTATTGATTGAAGTGTCTGTTCAAGTATTTTACATACATTTTAATCAGGTTATTTCACATTCAATTTTGATAATTCTCTATGTAATTTGTGGTTTTCTTTTTTAATGTATTTAGGACAGGGTCTGCAGGGTCTCTCTACGTAGATCAGACTTAGAGTGATTCTCCTGTTTTCAGCCTCCCAGGCCTTGGGATTACAGGTTTACACCACCACGCCCAGTGGGCAGGGCTGGCATGGCAAGCCTGGATTGAACTCTGGCTGATGCGCTGCTCTGCCTAAACAGGCCCTTGAGTCCACTGAGCTATCTGGCTGGCCTCTCTTTATGTAATTTGAATGCAAATCCTGAATTGCATATGTAATCTGTAAATACTTTCTCTCAGTCTCTAGCATGTGTTTTTCTTTCTTTTTTATTTATTTATTTTTTTTTTATTTTTGACTCTGAATGCCTTCGGGGCAGGTTTGGCTGGCTTGAGTTGTGGGGATTGAACCACAGCAGCCTGAGCCTGACTGCTTTGTTGAAGCAGCCACTTAAAGAGCTGAGCTAAGGGGCAGGCCCCCAAAGTGAGGTTTATTTTTTTTTTTTGTTTTTTTTTTTTTCTCGCAGAATCGGGGATTGAACTCAGA